AAGAGGGAATCAGACAGATGAAGAGAGAGCAAGTCCAAGCCAGACAGACGGAACAGTACTATGGATGGTCTAGAAATCAGAGAGAGACAGAGAGAGAGAGAGACTGGGCCATCTGACAGCTGGAAGGAGGTTTGGACTGGCTGGATATTGAGTGTGGGGTGTAGCAGCAGGAGGGGTCTACTCTAAATAAGGTATTTTGGGGTATGTAGAGCTGGATGTGCCCAGTCTGAGAGGCTGGACGTTATCCTTAGAGCTGCAGGCAGCCCCTGCAGAGTTTGAGCAGGAGTGAAATGACCCGAATGACTTAACTAAGCGTTAAGAAAGGTCCCTCAGGCACTGGGACAGAGAATGGGTGCAAAGAGATCAAGACTGGTGTCAGGAGGATCAGCTAGGAAGTGGAGGTGGCTGTTAAGGAGAGAGATGAAGGGAACTGCACCAGGGAGTTCCCCTGGTAAGACCTGGGAGGTCCAACTGGCCGTGCTTGGGGAGGGGTGAGGGTAGTGAGAGACAGGCAGCCAATAAGGATGGCTCTGAAGCTCCCTGACCTGAGCTGCTGAGTAGAAGGTGGTGCCTTTCACAGAGTAAGGCAACACTGCAGGAAGGGCAGGTGCACAGAACTGGAGTGGCTGGGTTCAGACAGGGACATGTGACTACTGCTATGGGATGCGGACTACCCAGTACTTCTGTGACTTTGGGGAGTTGATCTAACCTCTCTGTGCCTAGAGCACCTAGTCTGTAATAGGAGCATGATGATAACGGTTAAAAAAAAAAATGTCTACTTTGTTTCATTCCTTTAGTCTAAGAGAATGTTCTGTTTACAGAGCAGAGCTGTCTTTTTCTTGTCAGGTAAGTAAAATGGGAATCTCTCTACTTATCTACTAGGAGCCTAGATTTCCCTATCTGCTTTGGTATTTTCACCATATGGCGTGTACTGCCAATGCTAAAAAATAAGTAAACAAATAAATTCCAAGTACCAAGTACTTAGTGTCACGGGTGCACAGCACAGTTGCCCATTGGCCTGTCTCAGGGAGGCGCCCCCTCCCCTTCAAATACTCTCATGAGGCTCTTTTAGCCCCTCTCTCCCTCCAGTGGGTAGGGTAAGGCGTTTGGGACACAGATCCCCTACTGCTATCTTCTCTATGAAGTTATCTCCAGTGCGGGGGGAGGCTGCCTGGGACTCACTGAGTGCCACCTGCCTGTGGGGTTGTCAGTGGGCTCAGGAGGCCTGTAATTTAGGAGAGAGGACTGAACCAGAGAGGTATATAGAGCTGGAAATGATCAGCATATGGCTGCAGAGCAGGACAAGATGCAGTCACAGACAACTGGATTTGAATCAAAGCTCCACCGCTTATCCCCTGTGTGTCTTTGGGCAGGATAATAAAACTCTCTGTTGCTCAGTTACCTCATGGGTACAGCGAGGATAACGATAATATTCTGGAGTAATGATTCTTTTTTGCTTCCTTCATGTAGACCACTTTGAAAAAACAGAAAGGGCTGTTCACCGGTAGATTCCCTTCAGGGTGAAAACGGAATCTGTCTACCCATGTATCTGCTTGGAGAGACAAGAAGGATGCCTTGTTTATCTTCACCTTGTTGGCAAGGTGAAAGTTCACCTGACTTCTGAAATAAGCCAAGGTGAAGAAGCCTCCGCACACTGTCGGCCCCAGGAAACTGTTGGCCACAAAGGGCCACCCTTCCCCACATGACTTAGGTAAGGCTCGCTGCCTAATACTCTGTCCTAACTCCCCTAAGACTCGCAGGGAACGGACCCTCCCACTCCTTGTTCTTTATCTCATGAACAATTCATTTGGACTGAAAGTTTGTCCTCCTGAAACTAGCTAGCCCACAGAGATAAACATCCTCTGTTCAGCTGAGACCTTCCCAGATAACAAACACCCTCACCCTCACCCTCTCCCCGCACCCCCTGCACAAAAGGTCCATCGCCTCAAATAACACCTACTCCTCCCCATGAAAGGGCAAAACCACCCCTCCAAGCCGCTCTGATGTCCAGCCCTGGGGAGCCCTCCCTACTGCAATATCCTGAACAAATTCGGTTTGTTCCCCTGTTTGGTTCTTGTCTTTCCCAGTGTGCAGGTACCGCCCAAGCCAAACAATGGGCAGATAAACGAAATCCAAGACCAGGTGTCGATTCTCACGTGGACGCCCTGTCTCCGAAACATCCAGTCAGCCGCGGGCGCAGCGGCCTCCTCCAATCCCTGCAGCCCGGCTTCCACGTGTCTCGCCTGTGAAGTCACCTCCAGCGCCCAGACCCTCTTCCCAACCGCCTCAGGAAGCATTCGGCGCCTCCAGGGCCCCACGCTCCCGGGAGGGGCGCTCCGGACCGCCGCGCTGCACTGCCCCGAGTGGCGGCCGCGACGCCTCCTCTCCGCAGGGACGAGCTGGATCGCGCAGTGGATCGCGGGTGCCCACCTGGCTGCCGGGTCAGAGAAGCGCACGCGCCCCTCCCCCCC